TTATCCATTCATCACCGGTGGCCATGTTAGCTTTTTCTAAGATTTAGCTATTATGAATTGTGCTGCTATAATTGCAGGTGTATATGCACCACTATGGTGTGATGCTTTTAACTCACTTATTGTTTGATTTCTAAATGATATTCTTTTGGACTGAGATGGACCCTCAGGGTCATTTTAATTTGCATTTCTTTTTATATATATATATATATTTTTTTTTTTTTTTCTGGTACCGGGGATTGAACTCAAGACCTCGCACTTGACAGATAGGCGCTTATGCTGCTGAGCTAAATCCCCAAGGTTAATTTGCATTTCTTGAGTGACCAGACTTAACTTTTTTTTCTGTTATGTATTTGCTATTTGTACTTTTTCACCTAAGGGCTATCTATTCATTTCAGATGCCCATTTTTCGATTGGGTGTCTAAATTTGTCCAAATCTGGCTTTTATCTCTAGAGTTTTTTTTTTTTAATGACTTCTTCAATTCCTTTTACTGATATGAGATTATTTAGGATTTTTATACTTTCTTGTTTCAGTATCAATAGCTGATAGGGATGCATGAATCTGGTCATTTCTTCTGAATTTTCCATTTTGTTAGAGTACAGGTTCTAAAAATATTTACCATGTATTTGAATTTCAACAGAATTCATTGGAATATCACCTTGTTCATTTCGAGTTGCAAAGACTAAGGTTTTTTTTTAACTTGGTAAGTTTGGCTAAGGGTTTGTCTGTTGCATGAACTCAAAGAATGAATTCTTGAATTCATTGATTTTTTATGTCTTCTAGTTTCAGATTTAATTTTTGCCCTGATCTCATTTTCTCACAAATTATGAAATATGCATATTGTTTAAATTTACATTTCTGTAGTGATCAAAGATACTGAAATTTTCACTTATTTATTGGACATTTCTGCGACTGTTTCTGAGAAACATATACCCACTTGAATTGCCCATTTTTAGATTAGGTCTTTTATTCTAGAAAGTCTAATATATTTTTAGATTTCATTTATACATATTATACATACTAGTTATCTGTGCAAGCAAGTATTTTTCCATTCTGTAGGCTGGTTGCCCCTTTACACTGTTCCTGGTTTCCATTCCTGTGTAGAAGCTATTTAAATTGAAATGATTCAATTTGAGATTCTACACAACATATCCTGTGCATATGGGGATGTTTGCCCAGGGCTGTCTTCAACAGTTTTAACTATTTGACTTTCAGATTGTTTCTACTTTAATAATTGTTAGATCCTTGATACATTTTCTTTATAAATTAGTATGGGAGGGAAAATCTTGCGAATCACCAGTTCTCCAAGCAATCATTTCTTAAATAGGATGACCTTACTTCAGCATATGTTTAGCAGATTTGTCAATCACCAGACTGTTGAATATGCTCCAGGTTGTTTATTCATCCTCTAACTTGCTCCACTGGTGCACATGTCTATTAATGTGGCAGTACATGCTATGTTTTTTCACAGAAGCTTAATAACATGAACTGAACTCACAAAATTTGATACTTCTTTCTTTGCTCTTCTCAACCAATATAACTTTTCCTGTTATTGGTCTCTTTTGATTTTGTATGAATTATAAACTTGCTTTCTTTGGTTCTTTGAATTTTTAGTATTTTAATTGTGATTGTATTAAATCTGTATATTCATTTAGTAACCACATGGATTTGGACAATATTTAGTCTAACAATCCAGGGTCACTGGACATATTTCCATTTTCTGATGTTGCCTTCTATATCTTTTTTCAAAGTATAGCAGATTTCAAAATAGACATTTCCTCTTCTTTGTTTAGTGTCTTTCCTAGTATTAATTTTTCTTCTTTCTGGTGTAAATAGTATATATTTCCTGGTTTTACTCAGTGAGTTCATTATTTGTGTACAATTTTATTAAGTTGTTAATTTTATCATGCAACATCACTCATCGGTTATTAATTCCAGGTGTTTCAGTGGATTTACATTTTCAGTGTAGAGAGCTATGTCAACTGCAAATAAAAATTTTTTTTCTATATGTATCATTTATATTTCTTTCTGTCCCTGAATGCTGTGGCTAAACTTTTGAGAAGTATATTAATGAGGAATTATTACAACAGATATCCTTCCCTTTTTCCCAATTTTTTAAGAAAACCATTCAATTTTTTCCCAATTTTATGTTAACAAGATTTGCACAAATGATTTTTACCAGATTGATGTAAAGGACATGCACACCTATTTTCTTTTTTTTTTTTTTTTTTTTTTTTTTTTTTTGTGATACCAGAGATCAAACTCACAACCTTGCACTTGCCAGGCAAGTGCTGACACCACTGAGCTAACTCCCCGGCCCCATGTACACCTATTTTCTTTAGGGTTCTTTTATAAATATATAATGAAAGATTATTGGATTTTTTTTTTTTTTGGTCTTTTTCTCCTTTTTATCGGTACCAGGGGTCGAACTCATGACTGCCTGCTTGCAAGGCAGGCGCTTACGCCGCTGAGCTAAATCCCCAGCCCCGATTATTGGATTTTACTGAAGACTTTTGCATCTATTGAGATGGTCATATGATATTTTGTGGTGTTTGTTAGTCTCAATTTTGTTAATTTCTGATCAGGTGCTTGTAATTTCTTCCCTAGCACTTCATTCTTTGAATTGTTCTTGTATTTCTAGGACATTAAGGGGTATCATAAGGTAATTTACATGGACTTCCTCTGTATTTCTGAGGTGAGTATTTTCATAAATAATCTACGCACACCATCCTATATATTCATTCCACCAGAAGTTTGGCATCATTGACTTTATTATGTGTCTTTTTTTTTTTCGGTTTTTTTTTTTTTGAATCTGAAAATGACTTGATAAGTTCATGTAAATTGCACAGAATAGTGGATTACATTTTGGTGTACTGCAACTTGCATATAATATACATTGATTTTTTTTTTTTTTTTGGAGGTGCTGGCTTGGCTTCCCAGAGTCCTAAGTTCCAACATGGAGTGGATCTCAGGAGACACTGCTAGTTCTCCCCCTGGGAGGGCTGCAGTGGGCCACACTACCGCCGCTTACCAGGGAGGGGAGGTGCTGGCTTGGCTTCCCAGAGTCCTAAGTTCCAACATGGCCGTGGATCTCAGGAGACACTGCTAGTTTTCCCCCTGGAAGAGCTGCAGTGGGCTAAACTACCAGCGCTTACCAGGGAGGGGAGGTGCTGCCTTGGCTTCCCAGAGTCCTAAGTTCCAACATAGCGTGGATCTCAGGAGACACTGCTGTTCTCCCCCTGGAAGGGCTGTAGTCTGCCACCCTGCCTCAGCTTACAGGGAGGGGAGATGCTGGCTTGGCTTCCCAGAGTCCTAAGCTCCAACCTGGCGTGGATCTCAGGAGACACTGCTAGTTCTCCCCCTGGAAGGGCTGCAGTGGGCCACACTACTGCGGTCTTTTTCATTTTTATGGGTAACAGGGGTCGAACTCACGACTGCCTGCTTGCAAGGCAGGCGCTTATGCCGCTGAGCTAAATCCCCAACCCCTTTATTATCTCTTTTTTAGCTGCATGAACATACTCAACATTTCTGAATTTCCTGTTTGACATTAAAAAAAAAAAATGTGTCCATCACCATGGGAGAAATGATCATTTTGAAGTCAATGGGTTTTGTGGACACCTGTGTTGTCTGTGCTTGAAATTCACTATCACATGGAAGCAAAAATTAGAGAGAAAAGAATAACCAATTCTAATACTAAAAATTATAATGGAAAATAAAGGTGCTTAGGATAAAATGTCTTCTAAGCGCACTATTGCTTATGTGGCTGGACTATCAGTATACATTATGGATATTTCTGATGATGTAATTAAAAATAAGCTGCAGTAAAATGAACCACATGTTCAAGGTTTCAAAATTGATACTGCACCTCCAATATAGTATATTTCTTGAATTATGTAAGAAAATATTTCATTTTAAAGTAAATGAACTTATGGTATTATCTAATTGTCTAAATATTATTAATCTATTATCTTATTCTCCATATTGTGGATATTTCATTTGTCACTAATATTTTCACCTTGACAAAGAAAAGTCAGGATATAAATCCATGAGGAATTGAGCAGCTAGCATATTCATAAACAAAGCATCCCAGACTATCCCACAATACACCAGTGTTAAGAAGTGAGAATTCGAATATAATTCAAGGATAGCAGAGGTGGCCTATCCTGGGCAGCCATCACTGATGGCCGATGACTGAGTTTTATGTGGCTGAATGTATATAAACTACTTTCTTCAGTCACCAGTTGTGTTTGTTGATGATGACAAAGACTCTATAAATTTCTGTAAAGCTGGCAAAACAATACAATAGAATCTCAAAAATTACTCAATTTCTTTTTTTTTTTTACTGAACTGATTTGAGATTCATAGTTTAAAAAATGATTTTTAAGACTAAATGGTTTTCACAGCATTAGAGAATAGAATACAATAGACTGTTTCAACCTAAAGAATAGAAATCATTCTCAACTCTCCCAAAACTTTCTTTGCAAAACTCTTTGTTGAGGGGCCTGTGATTTAGCTTAGCAGCATGCCTGCTTGGCAAGCATGAGGTCATGACTTCAATCCCCAGTACCAAAAGCAAGAACTTCTTAGTGACATTCAAAACATAATTTATATCTTGCAGGAAGATAAATTGTTGTAACTTATTATACTTTTTTGAGAAAATAGGATCTTCTGTTCTCTGGCAATGGAGATTTACAGCACACCCACCCACCCACATACACACACACACACATATATTTTATGGTGACTGATAGATTATCACCAAAATAAATTATGGGATTATGACCATGAAAAATAAATTTTCATGATTAAAACACCTATAATTTTGCATAGTATAATAATGGCCCTGATAACAAAAATAGGCAATATGGAATACTGTCCATACAATACAACCTTGGTTTGCAACTATAATCCATTCTGGAAACATGCTTATAACCAAAACACTCATATATAAAGCACTTTTTCCCCTAAGAAGTAATAGAAACTCAGATTAGTCATTGCACAACTCAAAAATATTTATAGGAAAATTATTACAATAGTATAATACAAAATATACACAAAATGCACAACAGAAAACAGATTAACATGCACATAGCTTTCAGAATCTTCATGGCTGTTATGAGGGACAGAGGAAAGACAGAGTTAATGTACACGATGTCTTCCACTATCACTAACAGAATCACTGATACCTATTGGCTCAATGGAATCTTCTTTTTCATGTACTTTTAACAAAGAACATATGGAAGGACACATGCTTTTGCCTCCTTCTCAGTATTTCAAGGAAATGCATCATTGCAGTTATTAACAGATTCATTATTCCCACTGATACAGCTTTATTAGGGTGGTGCTTTCTACAAAATTTTGCAGTCTTCCAGATTTCACACCTTCCTAATTTCACTTGAAAGGTTTCCTCTAGCTTTCTACCAGTCTCCCTTGCAGATGATATCTCCCTCTATAACATCTTGCAGTTGAGAGTCAATCACCCACAATCCCTCAGTGTGCGAGAGAGAGAAGATCCGTTGGTTCATGTGACAGCACAGCCATTTGGCATGAAGTACCAGTCATATTACAAGACATCACTAGTTGGTCAAGATAAAATTTATTAGAAATGATTGATCATCTTGCAGAATACTCACAAAACATGATCCAAGCTTTTACTTCAACCTGTAATTATGTTGGGATATATACAGATACCTTCTTAAAATATAGAAAACATGACATTTGCTAGAGTGCAAGTTGTTTGGAAACTATCAAATTCTATGTGGACATATATACAGAAACTTCTTAAACTATGCATTATACTTGTAAAGTATAAAATCCAATTAAAAATTCTTTTGCTACAACAATGGAAAAATTGATAATATACACCAAACTTTTCAATAGAAGCTAATGGGAAGATGAAATTTAACAAAAAATTGGTTCTAGTATATTACATCATAATTATTAAAAACAATGAAACAAAAAATAACCTACAGACATACTGAGCCTTACTGAAATATAAGAAATATAATTCAATTCACCTGTGGATCTAGCTTGCTGAAAAATAAATAAAAACTTGTCACTTAATTTGATTAAAAGACAATATTAAACTTCCATATTATTGCTTAAAGAACACAAAGAATTATGTGACCACAACACTCAATTTTAAATGTGCACTTACATATCTTTAATCCAAGGAGCTAATTTTAAGAGTGAATGTACTATGTTTATATTTAAGATATCTCAGCTGGTTGTATATTTTCTGGAGAAATAATTGACATCATATTTTTATAAGACTTACATACGTTTTTTACTATGGGACAATTTTTCAAAAGGTTTTGAAATTAATGATCTTTAACTGACATTGTGCATTCACAGATCCTATATGCACTGTTACATTTTGGACAACTCAAGACTTGTGTACTTCAAAGCTGTTCCAGATTGCAAAAACAAACAAAAAAAAGACTTGTGTACAACCCTTATACTGTTTTCTCACAATATGTAATATAAATAACATCAAAATGGGTGTTGGTGTTTCCACAAATATACATTGATATGAGTTTCTCCTCTAGCCAGGGCCATGTTTCCAAGAAAGATCATAGAAAAATGACTTCTCACACTCTGTGAAAGCACAAACTCTCAGTGAAAGTTTCCGTATGTGTTCTGATGTGATGGGAAGCACAAGATATTTCTCACCTCATCTGTATATTTCCTTTAGTGTGAGTTCAATTGAGTAATTTACCAAATTTGACAACAGACATATGGCTTTGCTGCCATGTAAATTATTTTATAGAGTAATTGCATTGAGATAAATCATTTCCCACATGGCTCACATATTTTCAGATTCTCACTCATTAATTCTTTCATCTAATTATACCTAGGTACCTTGATTTTTGTTTTACATTGCTTATAGAAAAAGGTATTTCCTCCACTGTGAATCTTTTCATGTTATTGCACAGCATTTTATATATTCACAGTTTCTTATTTTTTAATGTTTATAATGCTTACTAGAATACCTGAAGTCTTCACATTGCTTAGGATGATTGCTATATATTTTTCAGTGATTGTTTTCATGTAATTGATGACACTGGTGTGTAACGAATGTATCCCAATATTGCTATGTAAATAGAATTTTTCCCCAATGTAATGTTTTAGGTATTTCTCAATTACTACGTGTTGAAAGCTATCTCACATCACTTACATACTGTTTCTCAGCAATGGGAGCTCTTTCATGATTTTCACAACTACAGCGGATTGGGAATACAATATCAAACATGCTACATACAAAGAGTCTCCCTTCAGTATGAATTCTTCCATGATTTTGAAAATTACTTTGTGCATGAAAGCTTTCTCACAATACTACATACAGAGTTTCAACCCAGTGTGAACTCTTTCATGTCTTTTGTAGTAACAGAGTGAGCCAAAAGCTTTCCCACACTGCTTACACACATAGTGTTTCTTCCTAGTGTGAATTCTTTCATGTTTTTGACAATAACTTTGTGCACTGAAAGCTTTTCCACATTGCTCACATACATAAGGCTTCTCACCAGTGTGAGATCTCTCATGCACTTGACAAGACCTTTGGGCACTAAATGCTTTCCCACATTGCTCACATACATAAGGTTTCTCCCCAGTGTGAGTTCTTTCATGTGTTCTGCAGTGAGCATTTGTGCCAAAAGCTTTCCCACACTGCTTACATAGATAGGGTTTCTCCCCAGTGTGAATTCTTTCATGTATTTGACACCTACTACGTGTGATAAAAGCTTTCCCACACTGTTTACACACATAACATTTCTCCTCAGTGTGACGTCTTTCATGTTTTTGACAATAACTTTGTGCACTGAATGCTTTCCCACATTGCTTACATATATAAGGTTTTTCTCCAGTGTGAGTTCTTTCATGCATTTGCCAAGATCCCTGGGTATTAAATGCTTTCCCACAATGCTCACACACATAGGGTTTCTCTCCAGTGTGAATTCTTTCATGTACTTTACAATGACCCTGTGTACCAAATGCTTTTCCACACGGTTTACACACATAGGGTTTCTCCCCAGTGTGAATTCTTTCATGTGTTCTGCACTGAGTGTTTGTGCCAAAAGCTTTTTCCACATTGCTTACACACATAGGGTTTCTCCCCATTGTGAATTCTTTCATGTATTTGACGCCTACTACATGTGATAAAAGCTTTCCCACACTGTTTACACACATAACATTTCTCCCCAGTGTGACGTCTTTCATGTTTTTGACAATAACTTTGTACACTGAATGCTTTCCCACATTGCTTACATATATAAGGTTTTTCTCCAGTCTGAGTTTTTTCATGTATTTGCCAAGATCCCTGGGTATTAAATGCTTTCCCACATTGCTCACACACATAGGGTTTTTCTCCAGTGTGAATTCTTTCGTGTACTTTACAATGACCCTGTGTACCGAATGCTTTTCCACACTGTTTACACACATAGGGTTTCTTCCCAGTGTGAATCCTTTCATGTGTTCTGCACTGAGTGTTTGTGCCAAAAGCTTTTCCACATTGCTTACACATATAGGGTTTCTCCCAGTGTGAATTATTTCATGTATTTAACATCGAACATGTGTGACAAAAGCTTTTCCACATTGCTTACATACGTAAGGTTCTTCTCCACTGTGCGTTCTTTCATGTACTTGCCAAGACTTCTGTGTACTAAATGCTTTCCCACAATGCTCACATACATACGGTTTCTCTCCAGTATGAATTCTTTCATGTTCTTTACAATTATTACCTGTGCAAAAAGCTTTGCTACAATGTATACATATATAGTTTCTCCCCAGTGTGAATCTTTTCATGTGCTCTACACTGAGTGCTTGTGCCAAAAGCTTTCCCACATTGCTTACATATGCAGGATTTTTCCCCATTGTGAATTCTTTCATGGTTTTGAAAAGCAAACTGTCTGCTGAAAGCTTTCCCACACTGCTTACATACATAGTGTTTCATCTGAGTGTGAGTCTTTTCATGTATCTGAACATCATGGTGAGAATTAAAATATTTTCCACATTGCGTACATACATGTGTAGCAACTCTACTGTGATTTCCTTCTTGAATTTCAACGCAGTGGAGTGTACTAACGGCTTTTATATCTTGCTTACATTCAAAGGACTTCTCTTCTATGTTAGTTCCTTCAGTGCAATTAGAGTACAATTTTTCACTTTGCTTATATTTATAGGCTTTTGCTATAGGAGCTGTCTTAGCATGCTTCTGAAAGGACTGCAATTCAGTGCAGGCTTCCTCATGTTTGCTACAGTTAGACAGCTTTTCCTGAAGTCCCTGACACTCACACGCTTTGAGTTCAGTGTTAGCTAGGATGTGCACCTTTGCTGATGAGTGACCAATCAAGGGCTTTCCACAGGAAAAGCTTTTACCTGGTTTCATACCGACTGCTTTCATGTACACATTACCATCTGGAGACCAGCAAACCATTTCTTCAGGAAACCATGAGAGAAACTGATGCCATTTCTTCACCTTGTCACTTCTGCAAAAGAAAAATAAATAAATAAATAAATAACACATGTACTAATCACATTTGAAAGTGTCATTATATGAATAAATCAGGAGTTCTACTCTGCTAACCCCTGAAAATATTTAATCATGATTTTACTACACTTTTTCAGTGATGCCTTGGAAACCACTTTTATTAAAATAGCATTTACTGAGTATTCATATTTGACATAGTTGCAATATATAACACTTTCCTTTTGAAGAAATTATACATATACGGGGCTGGGGATTTAGCTCAGCGGCATAAGTGCCTGCCTTGCAAGCAGGCAGTCGTGAGTTCGATCCCTGGTACCGATAAAAACGAAAAACACACACAAAAAAAAAAAAAAGAAAAAAGAAATTATACATATACATGCTATATGCTAATTGTCTTTTATATATTTCATCTTTGATCTATACCCTCCTTCCAATGAAACTCTTCACTTACTTTCCATTGTCTGCTTCTAATGCCTCTCCTTACTTTGTCTTCTTTATTTTACTCACTGATTTACTTTTTGTTTTTCACAAAATTTCTGTCTCTGACACATTTTATTTAATGTTATAGGCTCAATATCCATCTATTCTTTTGGCAAATAACATCATTTTATTCTTCTTTATGGCCAAATGCTATTCCATTTCATACACATATAACATTTTTGGTGCTGGAGATTGAACCCAGTGAGATACACCCCCCCCCGATTATATAATTTCATTTTGAGTGTCTCATTAATCATTAAGGCTGAGCATGAATGAATGCATCTTATTGGCTTAGCTTCCCAGAGTGCTAGGATTGCAAACATGAATCCTGATGCTTGAACTATTGCATATCTCCTTAACATATACATCTATGAATTGACCTCTACTCATTATCTAGATCATAATTGCTACAAACACAGATATGCATGTGTCACTATAAAATGACTTCTTAAATTTGTGGAACATATACCTAGGAGAATAGTATTCGTATTTTACATTTATAAGGAAACTACATGCAATTCCATAGCTATTGTACTGAAATGACATTAACACCAATGATATAGGAAGGTGCATCCTAATATTTTAAAACCTGAATGAACTAAGTGATTCTTGAAAGATTGTTAAAAACAGCTGTTATCAGGTAATCCCACCTCTCAAGAAGCTGAGACAGGAGTATCACTGTGAGTTTGTGGCTAGGTTGGACTACAAAGTAAAGTTCAAGGCCAGCCTAAACTGCATCACAAAAAAATGTATAGAAAAGACAAAAAAAAATCCCCCAAAACAAAAAACACCACAGCTATTACCATAACAGGGAATTTGTTTACATTTTGAATACTTTCACAGCATTAGCAACTTTACAAATAACTGAAGCATACACAATACTTAAATACATCTAGCATTGCTACATGATTTGTTTCATGGGAAAGTGATCTTTAGAAAATACACACATGTATGTATAATCAGATACTCTGAATGTGCCTCTCAATCTAAACAAAAAATTTGTTTCATATTCACCTATAATCAATTGCTAAACACAACTTCATATACTTACAATCTAGAACATGAAAACAATTAGTTTATTCTGATATATTAGATAATATCACTTGGGTCATAATGTTTGTACTTCTTAAGTGTCCAATAATGTAATACTTTAAATACTCAATTGTTATGGTATAGACTCAATGCGTAGCATCTTTGGAGTGACTTTTAAGGTCAAGAAATTTGAGCATAAAATAAAATACTTAGCAATCAATGTAACAAAGAATGTAAAAGACCTACATATTGAAAACTACAGGTGGGAATACAGCTCAATGGCACAGCACATGCCTGGCAAGCGCCAGGTCATCAGTTCGAATCCCTGTACAAAAAGAAAAACAGTGGGGGGAAAAGGAAAACTACACACTCTGAAAAGAGAGATTGAAGAGGATATCAGATAAAGAAAAAAATAGCCTTTGCTCTGGGAATGGAAGAACAAATACTGTGAAAAGAACAAATACTATGTGGCCATACTCCCAAAATTGTTTCACAGATCTGATGCAATCACAATCAAAATACTACTGACATACTTGACAGATCTACAGAAAACATTGCTAAAATTCATTTAGAAATTAAATAAAGAGACCTGGAATAGCAAAGGTAATCCTGGGCAACAAAGACAAGGGCAGGAGGCATTGCAATCCCTGACTTGAAATTATACTACAGAATTAATCTGATAAAAAATCAGCATGGCACTGGCAAAAAAACAAGATCTGAGGAAAAATGGAACAGATTAGAAGATACAGCCACAGCTATAGAAACACTCAGCCAGATCATCTTGGAAAACGGGGCCAACCGTGTTCACTGGGGGATGAGATACAGCCTCTTTAATAAATGGTGCTGGATAAATTGGCTTTCCATGTGCCAAAAACTAAAACTAAACCCATGTGTGTCACCATGAACTAAACAAACTAAACTCAAAATAGATCAAAGATCTAAACATTAAAACAAGGGCCAGGGACTTAGCTCAGCGACATTAAGCCCTACCTTGCAAGTGTGTGGTCATGAGTTTGATCCCTGGTACAAAAAAAAATAATAATAAATAAATATTAAAACTGAAACACTAAATCTGCTGGAAGGTAAGATAGGTAGAAATTCTGAAGACACAGGGATAGGCAGAAAGTTCATGAACAAATGGGAAGTACTTCAAAGAGTCAGGAATTGGGATCTGATTTTATTAAAAACTTTGGTACATCAAAAGAAATCATCAACAGAGTAAAAAAGAAAACCCACAGAATGAGAAAAAATTTTAGCCAACTGTCCCACAAAGGACTTATATCTAGAACATAGAAAGAATTGAAAAAAATCAGGCTCCACAAATTCAAAGACCCAATCCAAAAATGGGCATGAGATGAACATGCACTTCTCAGATGAAGAAATGCAAATGGCAAATAAATATATGAAGAAATGTTCAACATCACTGGTCATTTGAGAAATGCAAAATAAAACAACACTGAGATTCCATCTCACTCTAGAAAAAATGGCTGACATCAAGAAATTAACCAATGCCGGGTGTGGTGGCTCATGCCTGTAATCCCAACACTGGGGAGGCTGAGGGAGGAGGATCGTTGCGAGTTCGAGACCAGACTGGGCTACAAAGTGAGCTCAAGGCCAGCCTCAACTGTATAACAAGATCCTGTCTCAAAAAGACAAAAAAAAGAAAAGAAAAGAAATTAACCAATAACAATTCCTGACGGACTGTGAGAAAGAAGGGATATTTTCCCATTATTGGTAGGAGTGTAGACTGATACAACTCCTGTGGAAATCACTGTGGAGTTTTCTCAAAAATCTAGGATTGGGGTTTCATTCAACCCCACTACTACTCTTGTAGGTATTTTCCCAGATGAATTAAAAACATCATACCACAGTGATATATGTGGACCCATGTTTATAAAAGTAAATTTATAGGGGCTGGGGATTTAGCTCAGCACCAGCCTTGCAAGCGCGTGGTCGTGAGTTCAATCCCTTCAATACCATTTTTAAAAAAGTAAATTTATAATAGCTAAATCTTGGAAACAACCCAAATACCATCAACTGAGGAATCAATAAAAAATGTGGTATTTTTATACAATGGAATACTACTCACTTATAAAGGATAAACTTGAGGCTTTTATAGGCAAATGGATACAACTTGAGACTATACTCATAAGTAAAATAAATCAGACTCACATGTGTAAATAACTTATTATCTCTCTAATGTAAAAAACTGCAAGAATAAATATGATCCAAAGTGTACAACAGATATTGTGAAAGGAAAAGGGAAAGGGAAAGAAACTGCTCAAAAGGACAAACAGCTGGGACAGGGGAAAAGGGAAAAAAAACAGAAGGAAAAATTATACACACACAAAATAGATAACTGTGCTACTAATCTTTGTTAGTTCATCAACAGTATGGTTTGTATTTTCATTGCTAAACCCTTTATTTCATGCCTTATATTTCACAATCTGAACAACTACTTTGAAGATAAAAATGTGATATATTAGCCAGTGTTAATATCCTATTATTTTGTTTTGAAATGCTGTGTCATCATTTTTATTGTTTTTATTTTTTGTTTTTAAAATAAAAAATATTCGAACATAGTCAAACTTCTACAGTATGCTTGGTTTTAATATCTGTGTTCACAGGGGCTGGGGATTTAGTTCAGTGGCATAAGCACCTGTCTTGGAAGCAGGCGGTCTTGAGTTCGATCCCCGATACCAATTAAAAAAAAAAAATTTCTGTTCACACCATGACACAAGGAACTTTTTTTTTGGTCATTTTGAGACAGAGTCTCTATATGCAGTTCAGGCTGGCCTTGAGCTCACTTTGTGGTCCAGGCTGGTCTCGAATTCTCAATGATCCTTCTGCCTCAGCCTCCCAAGTGCTGGGATTACAAGCGTGAGCCATCACGTGCAGCATAAGGAACATTTTTATGTGAGTATACATTACCTTAGATTTCTTTGGCAACTTTTGTACTCATCTTCAATTTGCTCATCATCCTGGTTTCCACTAGTATAGAAACAAAAGTGCAATGTTGAGTTATTAGGCTACATAAAAATCAATTGATTGGGCTGGGGATTTAGTTCAGCAGTCTAAGTTCCTGCCTGGCAAGCACAAGGTCATGAGTTCAATCCCTGGTAACAAAAAACAAAAAAACAAAAAATCAATAGATTGGATATAGATTCTGGGTACAATGTGCCCATGGCTGGTAGACTCATTAAAATACTGCCATTTTCCAATGAAATAAATTCACTGATACACAACAACTAATACTCTCTGATTTCATGAATGAGACAGTGATTGACTCCTTACCTACAGCAGACACGTTCCTAAAGGTTTCCCACATCACATCTCTGAACAGCTTCTTTCGGGATGGATCCAGTAAAGCCCACTCCTCCATGGTGAAGGTCATAGCTACATCCTCAAAGGTCACTGCCTCCTAAGTCATTAGACATATATTTCCAAAAAGAAGAGTGAGATTCACAACAATATGAAGCATCTGAAATCTATTCATAAAAAGCCGACATTAGGGCCAGGGATTTGCCTCAGCAGCATAAACACCTGCCCCTGGCAAGTGCGAGGTCACAAGTTAGATTCCCGGTTAAAAAAAAAAAAAGCTGCTACTAATGTTTACTTCATGTCTTGTTTACCAATCACTTACTTATTCTACATCCATATGGATGTTCACACAGAAATTGTCATTCAATGCTATAATTCACTGGTTTTCCTACTGGTTAACCCTACTTCATTTCTACATTGTCTCTAAAGCTTGAGTCCTGCAGAAAGCCTAAAAGGTCAACACCCAAATAAAAAACTACAGTGGAAAAATACCTAAGGAATTGCTCTTAGAGATCATAGAAAATATCCCTTTTCACAACTTACTACTTAGAGAATTACCCCTAACTTCTCAGACTGTATTTAGGAAACATTTCAGACAAAATTAACCTGAATAGTAAGGAAAATTAACAAACGATAATTTGAAATGTCAACAGAATATACTATAGTTTTTATTAGAAAATGTAAGTGTAAACATAAATTAAGAAAGACAGGACAGGAGATTTAGCTCAGTGGCATAAGTGCCTGCCTTGCAAGCAGGCAGTCGTGAGATCCATCCCGGGTACCAAAAAAGACAAAAAAAAAAAAAAAAAAGAAGAAGAAGAGAGACATTATCTTGGGGCTGGGAATTTAGCTCAGCGGCATAAGCGCCTGCCTTGCAAGCAGGCAGTCGTGAGTTTGATCCCTGGTACCGATAAAAATGAAAAAGACAAAAAAAAAAAAAAAAAAAAAAAGACATTATCTTGCAGCTCAAGGACATGAAACAGTCACCTATGAAAGATAAAAAATTTCTAAATTACTTTATGGGAGAAAAACTGGGAAATTGATATGATCAAAAATATATATGTAACAAATACCAATATTTCACAAAATTAAGAATCACCAATAATAAAAGAAAAAAGAATAATTTTGTCACCAAATGACACTGCTGATTCATCAAACAATTACAACTGGTATTTTTAATGTTTCATAATGTTAAGAAATAATAAACAGGAGAGTGACAGACACTGGCCATCAGGAGGAGTGTAGGTTAGAAAGTCAGAAAGCAGAGACAAATATTCACCATGATTAATGAGCAGATATTGTACATATAATGCACTAGTCTATACTATCCTTGAAAGAAGTGATTTTTATGTTCATAGTTGTAAAAATATGGCATACAAAAGCCAAGAGCACATGCAAAGCAATGTTACATTATTGAGAACTCAAGCATGTCAGGGCAGAACTCTCAACTATGTACCAAATGCTTTCACAGAATTAAGGCAGCAACCTGGCCTGAACTGTAACAAGGAACTCATTGTGAAAATTCACTCCCACAAACAGAAGTTCAACTAAGTTAAATAGCTGTTAGATTCAAAGTTGTGAATGCCGCTAGGTGTAGTTGCACATGCCTATAATCCCCATATTCAGGAGGCTGAGACAGGAGGATCACTGTGATTTTGAGGACAGTCTGGGCTACAAAGTCAGTTCAAGGCCAGTGTGAACTACATCGTGAGACTGTCTCAAAAAGACAAAGTTGTGAATTCCTATGCTTTTTACTGTATTATCTTTAATTGGGGCACAAATACAATCAGTGCTGAGGTCTAAATATTCTCTGTAAAAATCAAAGATGAGAGGCTGATGCAGGGAAATTGCTGCAAGTTCAAGGCCAGCATGGCTACATGGTGAGTTCAGGGTGAGCCTGAACTACACAGCAAGACCTTATCTCAAAAAATGAAAAATACAAACAAAAAAACCTAAATAAATAAATAAATAAATAAAACAAAGAGTAACTACACAGAACTCCACTTTCCAGGTCGCTTGAAAACACAGATGCGGGGAGACACAGGCCAAAGGCGTGATTGAATCTGAGTGGGATAAGGAAGAGACCTTGGAGAACAACACTTCCTATACTCTTGGATTGCATGGTTAGAATTTAGAGGGCAGGATTGTCCCGCACAATCTGTGGGACAAGTCTGCAGGACTTGTCCTCTGACAAAAATTCTTATACACTATGAGGCAAAATGCTTTTCTGTTCTCATGTACTTGAATTACAAATAAAAATCTGGAGCTCTCCATTGGTTTCTATTTCCCCGAGGCTCTTTATACCCTAGAAGCAGTCCCTTTAAGCTCTCAAGCTCTTGGTAACTGAAATCAACACTGTCTCCCTGTGACATTTTTTGTCCTGTGCATAGGCTGCATACTGCAACACATACAAAGAATGTCTTTTCCCCAACAACAGAAAGTAACTTAAATCAGTAACATGAATATTGCAAAGGAGAACATGGAGGTAGACCCACAGAGGGTAAATCACACTTAAGAAACTCAGAAACGTAACAAGGGCAAGAATACATTTACGGTTCCTGATGAACAAGATCAAGAGAAGTTTGAAATCCTAAGGGTAGGTTTTAGACATGCTGAAAGTTTGACTTTTATCTGCCTCAGCACTTGCCAGAATCTCAATAATAAGAGATAAACTGCTTCACGCTTCTGCAGCTGCAGGGGAGAGAACAAATCGTCTTGAAATTTGGTGTTTTAAAATAAGTTCTGAAAAAATAAAATAAAGTTTTTTAAAAAGTTCTGAATACAAAAACAGTATTTCCCCAAAATCTAAACCACGCAGATATTCCTAGTTCTTGGTGGCAAGTGAAGCATCAAAGTTCAAGCACTCCAATCTGTCTCCTTCAATACTAAAAAACGAAGATATGATTTTGACTTTTACTCATTAATTAACTCTTTGCTTATGAGAAACAACAGTAAAAATCCTAATACACACACACACACACACACACACACACACACACACACGCACACACACACATATATATATATATGAAAGCACTGCTCAAAAATGAAAAAAAAAATTGAGGAAACAGTGCCTGAAAATGTTACGTGGACTATCTCCATAGAGACAATCAGGTAACTATCCAAGGTATGGCAAAAATGAGTAGAGGCACCCGAAGAGAAATTACAAAACAGGAAAACATTCTTTGTAGAAAATAATATCAGCCATATAGAAGTTACACAATTGCAGAAAATAAATGAAATGACTCTATTTCAATAGATTTAATGTGCACTGACGAATAAACTATGCTCAAATGGACATCGGCGGTCCACTTATTTGTTAGAGGTACAAATGGTAGAATTACTGACACAACTTGTACAGAGAATGGAAAGTAATTTTGAATGTGCTAAGGTACTTTAATTCTGAAACCACAGTGTTATTTCAAAGTGAGCTAGGTAATTTCTGAATGGGTATTTCAAACACTGAAAATCACAAAAAAATTAGGATACACACCTACTGGATATCATAATCAACAACAGGAAATAGAATTATGTAAAATTCCTAATCAAAATAAAGAGGTAAAAAAAATGAAAGATTAAGTATTTAGCCAAAACTGAATCAAGTAAAAATCTTCAGTATGCTTATTTCTTTATGAATTAGTTATTTGCTACAAGTTAAAAGAAAGTATGAGAATAGAAAAAGAAACAAAAGTCAAGAGAAGGATTTATTTTAACATGAGAATATTATTTGGACAAAGTAAATAAGCTCAAGACATTCATTATACACTATTTTGAATATAGTTAAGACCATATCAACTACAAATGTGATTTATTGTGAAAAGTTTTTAATTTACTAGCAATTAAAAAAGCAGTATTTTGTTACTAATAGAAGCAAAAGTGTAAATATGGGCTTATGATTTGTGAATATGACCACTTTATGAAACATAGTACATTTAAAGAAATGCATTTCATTACAATATTGAGCTTCTATCAATTTTTCAACACCTCTAATGTCAGCTATTAAAAGAGATAACGAATAAGAACTAAGGAGTAATAAAACCCAAAATGTGTTAATTGTGTTGTAAAAAGGAGAGGGAAAGGGGCTGGGGATTTAGCTCAGCGGCATAAGCACCTGCCTTGCAAGCAGGCAGTCGTGAGTTCAATCCCTGGTACTGATAAAAACGAAAAAGACAAAAAAAAAAAAAAAAAAAAAAAAAAAGAGAGAGGGGAAAAAAGTGTTCTAAAGGATACAACTGCAAGTGTGTTTAGGGGTGTTAAATAGATAACCATATTAATGTTTTTGGTTGGATCACTGAACACAACTGTTTGCAGTCTCACTGAATGTCCACTTTGTGTGCTTTGATACTGTGATTTGAGCAACTATCTCTAAGATGATAATGTGTAATCTATTAACTGGTGATTTCTTACTGTTTTTTTTTTTTTTTTTTGTAGTTCTGTATTACTTGTACCCTTACACCGCTTTGTTTTGTTTGTTTTTTCTCTTTTTCCTTTTAAATAAAATTTTAAAAATAGATAAAAAAATAAAAGATAACAGATTATTCACTTTGCTTTTTCTCTCAATCTGAACCAATAGTTTTATAGAAGAAAATCCCCCTCATTCATCACTGTAAAGGATTTTATTAATGTCTAGAAATAGTCATATACCTCCAAGCATTTATATAAATATCTATAAATCTTATCAACAAATTCTCTTAAAATTCTGCAACCTATTCATAGACAAAAATATTCCATAATGTTAAAACTCAGTCACGATGTATAGGGCACATGCCTGTCATCTTATTCCTTGGGAGTCTGAAAGAGTTCAACATCACCTGCATTACATATTGAAAACCTGTCTCAAAAACCCAAAGGAACAAATTTGGAGAGGGTAATCAGAATACATAGAAAATAACAGACACTTAGATTAGATGATGTGACATACTATAAATTCTTTATATTATATTCTCTTTTTATAATTTTTTTTGAGACAGGCTCTCTCTATGCAGCTCAGGCTGGACTTGAACTCACTGTGTAGCCCAGGCTGATCTTGTCTTGCCTCAGTCTCCAGAGTGTTGGGATTACAGGCATAAGCCACTTTGCCTGGCTATATCCTTAATAAAACTGTATTTGTAACACTAGTGAATCAACTACAAATGTTGTTGGGCGCAGGCGCTCAACATACCATACCCCACCCGGGACTAAGGACCACGCCAGCTTCTGCAATGCACTACGTCCCTCTTTAAATTAGCCAACCCGTGCGCACTTCGTGCTCACTCCGTACTCTGTGGCAACTCCTGATTGGCCACAGCTGGATATAGTAGCCAGAGCCTGCGTCCCATTCCCGCCCTACTTCCTCGTGGCAGCCTGTGATTGGTCACGGCCAAATATATAAACCAGAGCCCGCGTAAATAAAGCAGCAGTTAACTGTCGTCCACAAGAGCATCTCATGTCTCCTGTTTCATTGGGGCTGCGCCGGTCAACCAAAGAAAGACATAAAGAAGCCTTAAAAACCATACTGCTACATGACAGAAGCCAGTCTGAAAACACTATACACTGTATAATTCCAACTTGCTTGCACATGGTAAAACTCATGTAACTTAAATGTAAAGGGCACATCTTTTAATAAGCAGGCCAATCAATAAAGAAAATATGGTATATATACCCAGTGGAGTTTTATTCACCCATAAAGAATTTCTAGCAAAAGAAATGGAACTAGAGGACACTATACTATATAAAATAAGACAGAGATACAGTGAGACAACTACATCATGTTTTCTCATGTGAAAACTAAAATAAGTACATAATGTACAATACT